AACACTTCGTGCTGTAAAAACCGGCAAGGTGACTAGAGAAAAATATAAGCAGACCATGTCGGGTAAAGCAGTCTCTCATCTGCGCACGGAGCGTCTTCGCATCCACTGTTTTTCGCTGCATATCAATCCTCGCATCCTGTGTGTCAGCGAAGAGTCCAAGAGCAGACGCACATGGTCACTACAACAGGTTCGCCCACGCAACAGCTCTAAGTGTCCGTGGTGAAGAGTTACGCTTGTGCAAGAGACGTATTTACAGGTGAACATTCTCCGAAGGAATGGCTCTTCCTCATCAAGAGAAAGGTGGTGGGTCCCGGAGTCTGGACGACGGTGACCGGACATGTGTTCGGGTCTATGTACAGCAACAATCATGGACAGCATTGTCGACACATCTATGCGTATTTGAAGTACTCGCTCGCTTTGCACACAGCAAAAATAATCGAGACAGGAAACGAAACAAAATAATGACAGTGGGGTGACAATTCATGAAAAATTCCACTTCAAAAAAAAAAAAAAGATGTCAATCAGAGATAAGCATGCTAGCAAGAGCTGGAGACAGAATGGAAGATGTTCGTTCTTTTCAGGGCACTCGTAACCAGCCTGACAAAGAGAACACGATGGCAATTTCACGAACAAATCGTTTTTGCCACGTTTCTACACGAAGGAATGTATTTTGTACACAGTAACAGGCATAAAATAGAAATCAAATAAATGACTTCATGACATTTGCTTTACTAGTGGTACAGAAACAGGCTGTCACTTTAACTTTTATGAAAAAAAAAGACAACGCAACCGAACCTATTAATGACATCATAAACAGGTTGTCACACGTGCTCTTGTGCGAGTTTCGTGACCTTGGGTGAATGCGTTGACAAGTTACCACACATTACCAACAGCTTCGTCTCATAATTGCTATAGTTAATAGCCAGGCCATGCTTCGAATAGACGTTCAACAAATCACAATGCTGTCATAAATCAGAGGGTAAAGGAGTACATAGCAGGTCAGTCTGCCTAAAAATATACAAATAAATAGGATAAAACAAGAGCTAAACTTCAGTTCACATAAAACAACAGAAGTTGCAGAAAGATTATAGCTGCGCATCCTGACCAGTTCTCTTTTTTTCAATTCACCCATGATTGGCTTGAAAAACATTGAACATTAATATAAATGTCGGCGTTGAGATGGACAAACGCTATCAACACATGGTACTCGAACAGTTTCACTTGATTTTGTGTTTGACATATGTGGAATTCAATCGAGTATCCACTTAAATGCATGTTTGAAGATGCACCTCGGCGATTAGCACTCCCTCTTTTTCTCTCCAGGAAACGAGTTTGAGGGTGTCGCAACGTGTAGCTGCGCGACAAAGTCGTTCTTTTTGAAAAAACTCTCGCAACATAGTTGTCTGACCCTTGCGTGTATATTGCATTGAAAAATGATAAATGTATCCAGGTACGCTGTTTTTGTGTGGTTTTGAAAATCACCGCTTTCTGCGGACCGCAGTGTCGATGTGCTTGCAACTGCGGTGTTATGATAGCCCTAACCCATTCCAACAAAATTGCTACACAGTTTGCACCACAGAATGTTAGCGTTCAGTACAAAGCGTTTCTTTCACCGGTAATGTCGACGTCACAGTTGTTAAAACGGAACAACAGCGGCGGTTAAGTAGCCCAGTCAGTGTGTATTCTAAGCCAGCACGCGGCGTACGTCGTCGAGGCGCGTTGGTCACATGAACATGCGCTAACTTTTTTTCCACAGTGAAACCTGAACTTCATAATTCTTCATCTTTCACCCAATGAAAGCAGAGTACGCACGTTGATGTGCATGAACCCAATAATAATGCATGCGCAGATATTTTTTCTGAAGACTAGTGTACCTATGCTTTTGCGACATGCCATACCTTTTTTTCTTCAATCCTTGAAGACCCATCCTAAAAAAAGCATAAAACAAACAACTATAGAAAAAATCAAGCTTCGCTTCGGGTGAGCTTCATCTTAACGCCCCTGATAACCGTATGAAGGCAAACTGGCGAGAACTTCAAAGCACACTGAGCGAACGTTTTGCCATTCACCGCGATGCTCCCAATTATTTCACTTTTTTTTTCACACGCGCATCTATTGTCACTGACATTTACAATACTGCCTTTAAATTTGACTGAATAACGCTTTTTATACTGTTTTTTATTAATGAAGTTTAGATGGCATTTGACATTCGCGTATTTATCAGGTGTTCGAGGCGGCAACATTCGAACGGAGGCGGAACGGATGCCGAGGGCGCTCGTGTCGTGGTTCGATTTCAGTGCGCGTTAAACAATACCAATGGGTTGAAAGTAAATTCCCATTCCTGCACTTGACATGCCTCCTAGTTGAATTATGGTTGTGGCATGTTTAACTAAATGTTGCCGACCGTGTATATAGTAACAATTACTAGGTCACTGTTCAAAAAAAAAAACCAGTCTTATGTAAGCACTGCATATAGTAAAGGCTGATCGCAGCTTGTTTTCTATTCTGATGGTTTGGTTTGTGCGGCTGATAATGTTGGCAGGCTACAAGAGCAAATAATGCGGTTTTTGAAGCGCATCGGTACTAGTGTGAGCAAAGGGCTGATTTCGTTCACGATTCGTCGACCGAGACCATTGGCTTTTCAAAGCAAGTAAGCTGGAACGGAGTGCACAGCTGAACAGAGCCTGAAACAAATTTTTTTTCGAGTATAAAGCGAACAGAGCGCTGCAGCTTCATGACTTATCTAAGCTGCAGATATGGCTTCTGCTGGCGGTTGCCTGCTTCTATTTTCGCTTTTTGACACAAAAAGGTGGGCAATCAGGCTTCGCGCCAGGAGGCGCCTTTAAACTTCCGTGTGTATAAAATCCACGATGTCTGACGTTATCTCATCTTCAGAAGATAGTGCCGTATTTTTAGAGAAATAATTTCATGTTACGTGCAGCACATTTCTGAAAGTCTGGCTGGATGTCAAACTCGCTATAAACTCTGACTTTAGGGTTTCTTCCTAAAATATAGAGCCGCTGCTGTGTATACGAATAGGCAACAACAAAAATTAGAGGGGTTCCTAGAGTTAAAAAAATAAACTACTTGAAACTAACTCTAACGTGGGCGTGAACTTTTGTAATTGTGGTTTGTAGATCTACCAGCTGTTTTAAATACCATCCACCTTCTACAAGGTGGTAAACCGTTACTGACTGCACTTAGCGCCGTAAGATAGCTACTTTATTGAGCTGTTATTTTGCTTATGGTATGAGCTAGACCTGGAGGACTCACTTTCGAGCTGAGATCTAACGTGTGAGCCCTTTTCCAATGCACATTTTTAAGGTGAATATTGGACAGCACTAGCGATGTTCCTCATCAGACGCCAAAGAGATGGGGTCGAGTGTCCGATACACGTGACTGCCCCACTTTTCTTGCCTAGGGTCTTCCGATTTGACATGAAAATTCGTAGATATTTATTCGAGCGTATTTGACATGAGATGTATACTTCGCGCAGCCTAAATATTAGTTATAGCGACATGTCTGATAAGCTGGCTAGTTATTGCTTTAGGTGGTTCGCGTCATTTTCTCGGTACTTCAGTCGCCAGCAGCTATTCGAGAAACAAGTTATTTAAAAAGTTTCGAAAGTTTGTTTGCATTTTATCCGCTTCAGTCACTTTGGATGACTCAACATTTGTGATTGTAGCAGCGAAGAGTCACCGGGCCTATACGAAAGTAGTGGCGCTAAAGATCGCGTAACCTTCCCTCCAAGATCCAGGCGGACAAGCATTCTAAATGACTTCTGATAATCTCCATTCATTTCTCGGAATACGTGGGCGTCGCTATGCGATAAAAAGCAACGCTTTCTACGGGCCGACGGATACTCCTTTCGATTTCTTCTCTGTGGACTGTCACAACGTCCGAAGCTATAAGCGCGTTCTTTGACTTTGATTCGTAAACACGACAAGTAAGCAAGCCGACTTTGCGCCTCCAATGCGCAATCACAGGGAGAAAAATATACATTTGGAGCGTTGACAGGGCGATGGTAGTGTAATGCTTCATGCAGACCCCTGCATGGTGCACGCCAGCTTACACTCGCATGCTACATTCTTCAATTATTTTGGGAGATTAAGTGACGCATATAACGAGTAGATCCATGCACTGGCTCGTTTGCATGCAGGAACACACCCCCATCACCTGGCATGCATGCATATATATATATATATATATATATATATATATATATATATATATATATATATATAATGTCATTTTGTTTTACTTATATATACACATATGTATACTTTGTTGGGAAAAAATTGGGAAAAAGATGAACATAACTTCTCAGAGAAAGACATCGGAGAAGAGGCCACCTTTGCTTGTTTTCATTCGATGTTGCATTCATCACCAAGCAGGCCTAAAAGTATAGAGCTCATCTTTTCAGATGGTCTATCATCTAGTAGCCGGCAGCACGTGCGACACACTTACTCTCGATGAGCACAGGCGGACGTATCAGTTGCTTTCCAAGAGAGTGGGACCGCGACAGCGTACAACAAACGCGGCATTCTAACACCGCATCCCCAGAACACGATTGAATCGCTAAGCAGCAACGTATTCTGAGGAGCGCGAAACGTACTTTGTTCTTTGCTTCCCTTGTACTATGTAGACTTCAGCGGCATATACCTCAATAACGGAACACTTATTTAGTGCGCAAGAATGTGTCAGTTGTATAGAGGGGTATGCCATGTTGTACGCGGCATGCATACGCTGAATGTAAGCATTGCGTCTTTGTTTGAACTTCACTTCACGACCAGAACACGCATGGTACTAAACTGAACGCTAGGTGGTCGACCGAAATGTAGCACTGAATATTCAAATGAAACATTCAGTTGTTATTACATATTCGACTGGGAAAGACTTCAGCTGAAAAATACAAACAAAAGAACCGCGGACACACTGAGGTTCATAAGCAGTGGTGGCAATGCGTGCGCGCATTGATTTTATATGTATATTTCCTGTTTCAGCACGTTTTTTTTTTATATGATGTCACTCGCATACACTCAGCGTCAAATGTTTAAAGTCCAGGAGACACATAAGAGCGGAAATTCGAGGCCAGCTCCACTCTTCTGTGAAAGCCGTCGAAACTGAGAAGCTGGTACCCTTTCCAGAGGCGATTGCATTTCTGTTTTGCAAGTCTTCTCTAGGTATTTTTGTGTTGAATCATTGTTATTTATTTTCACTAAATCATTAGCTATAAGGTGGTCGTTGCGCTTTATTGGAATATCATATCTGCTTGTACTATTACATCGGTTTTACCCACTGGCCTTTCGCATGTACAATACCTGGTTTTACGGAATAAACAGCGGAATAAACAGTTGGAGGTCTGCTTTTTAGTCTCTCTGCGTTATCCTTTCCAGTTTCAGGTGCTGTTAAACTAGCCCAGCAAGCAACCACCCTACTGTGACTCTTTTGATCAAGCAGTACAGTTTACTTCCAAGTTTCGACAGTTTTCGCTCAGGATATCGTTGGGTGGAACGTTGCGGTAGCGTTTCAATACATCCATGTCCCATTCCAACCAGCCACCTACCCAAAATACGTGTCCCTATCATGGCTGCGCCGAAACGCAAGCAGCATTGCAAGTGCTGCTGGTGTGCATATCTTGCCCGCATAGCCAAGAAATTTCGCTCGAGGCTTCGTTCCATGCACACCCTTTGACCACTCGAGAGAGCGTACAACAACGCCTCTCACCATCTACCCCTCCAAGCGAGCCTCCCTTTCACATATGCCGGTCCGGTCCCCTTCCTACCAAACCTCACTCTCGACACATCACACGGCCACGTCACCTAGTGGTGAACCTGCGATGATACCTTCTGTGCGCTCTCCGGGACGACCAGAGACATAGGCGAACATGGCTAAGCGCTAAGAAGCTCAGCTGTTAAAATCTAAACATTTCCGCCCCTTCGGCAGGCAGCCTCTAATTTGAATTTCAAGACTGTTATAGAACACGCAGACGTGTACTGTGCAGTTGGACCGAATACAGTCCCAAATTGGGACGAAATTCAACATTTTCTCATTCCTAGTGGTCTCTGAACTGTTGACGCCACCAGTACGCACTTAAGTGCAATGCAGTTTTTTCAAGTTCTGACTGAAATTACCACAATAAGGAACCAAAAATTTTTAGTCGTCTGTATGATTTAAATGATTCAACTGATACGACCCAAAGCTTTGCCAACATGCTTGATTTCGTACACTGCGGTTCGTATTCTCTTTGTTGTTCCCCCCCCCCCCCCCCCCCCACCACTTCCTACCGGCATCGTGGAAAAATGTCGGGAAATGCTGCCCAACGGTATTCTCAATCAAGAAAGAAACAACACAATGGGAGGAGAACCATGACAGCAGATGACCACACGAAGTCCGGATAAGCACTCCCGGTGTGTCCACGAGTGTCCAAGGTGCCTCACTGGCACGGTGCACCGTTCGGGCACACCTCAGGTCCCACGCACGGCCTCTGCGTCGGAACGGGCGAGCACTTGTCGAGTCGCGTAGCTTCTTCGTCCTGAACGACGAGCTTGCTCGAGGCGGCCTCAAGGTTCTGGTAGTCCGCCGCTGGGGCTGGTTTGTCTTCGCGCAGTTCGATGCTCCAAAAGGGCAGACCGGCTCTTGTCCGCCGCCTCAGCCGGTACCGGTACCATGTGGCGCCGCCGGCAACCACCAGCAGGAAGCACAGGGTCGCCAGTACCGACACAAGCGGCACTGTACCGGACGACAGGCCACTCTCTGCGAAGTGAATCAGATCAAACGATCAAAATCAGTGCGTCACATGGCTCGCGCATGAAGGGAGTGAACCCTATGCTTCTGCGTTCTCGCCATATCAAATACGTGCTACGCAAACGTGAAATACAAACGCAGTTAACATTTCTAAATAAATAAATCAATCAAAGTGAAAAATAGTTATGCACAACAGGTAAAACTAGTGGTGGACATAGTGATATTGAGCAGGCGACATCGAACGATTTATCCGGCTGTGTCCATGGTTTGAGAGGGAAAGAGCAGCGATCGTACGCAGCTTGAAAAAAGGCAGCGATCGTACGCAGCTTGAAAAAAGGTTGTCACAGGCACGGGACATGTGAAAATGTCATTTTTTCTGAAGGACCCACGGCAGCGAGGAAGAGCGTTCTCATGGCTTTCCTGCCAGACACTTGGCTGTGTGACATTTTACCACGGTCTCCCTCAATTCAGGAGGTAATCAGGTGGAACGATATTCGGCCATTTAGCCCAGGCTAACCCCGGCTGGTTCAACACCACAAACACCACCACCAGCATCAGGCTTTGAGTTGCTATAATAACCCAGTAATAGACCAGCATTCTGTACTTTTGCTAGGCGCACGGATTTTCGCCTCGGTCACAAATTTGTTCCTATTAGCATCACTGTACCCCACGAAAAATACAGACAATACTTCACAAAAGCTAGAAATGCCTGAAACATGTGCGTCAACACCTGCCCAAGAAGCAAGACGCGCCATCGGTAGTTCTCAACGCTGTAGCCACCTCCGGCATGTTTGTCAACTCTGTAAAACACCACTTATCTTCCGCATTGTGGGAATTGATGTCATCAAAAGTAGTCAGCAAGAAACTGACTACACCGAATTGCTTGTATGACGCATTGCGAGGCGGATAAACGTCTTTGCGTAAGCCGAGTTGTTTGCATGATGCGGGATTATCATACACGCGTATGTACTGCATGCACCCTGTGTCACCTAAAGTTTACTTTACAGGCCGACTTAACTTACGCTCTCATGTTCAAGCGCCGACGCCAATTTCTTCAGGGAGAAAGAAACGCTCCGACTTACGTATTACAAGCAACTCAGCTCAGGGGTCCAGCCACCCTAGACTATAAATGACAGTCATAAAGTTACATTGGCAATATTTATTCAATTGCAGTAAGAGTGGAAAGTTAACATTACGTGACTGTAGCCAGTACTAGTAAGCTTAAGCTAACATCAATTCATATGAATGCCATTGCCCGCGCAAAACACATAGTGGAATGAGTAGCGCTTGTTTGTACAGCTTGTCTTGTGCGCGCTGCGACATCAACATGAATATTCACCAACTCGCCCAAACTTCATGTCTATTGCAACACTAGCTGAGTTAGGAAACAACAAAGAGCGATAGTAACCAGTTAGGCGAGACTAGCTAGCAGTTAGAGGCGTAGAGCCAATGCTTGTCATCCCTGAGCCAGCTTTATAGGTAGTATAGCAAGGTAATGTTGGTATTACGCTAGCTCTAGGATGCACAATAAATTATCCAAGCTAAAGAAACGACTGCAGAAATATCTTGCAAGTTATGTAATTCATGATGTGATATGAGCTACATGCCGCCCCGCCGCGGTGGTCTATTGGCTAAGGTACTCGGCTGCTGACCCGCCGGTCGCGGGATCGAATCCCGGCTGCGGCGGCTGCATTTACGATGGAGGCGGAAATGTTGCAGGCCCGGGTGCTCAAATTTGAGCGCACGTTAAACAACCCCAGGTGTTCAAAATTTTCGGAGCCCTCCGCCACGGCGTCTCTCATAATCATATGGTAGTTTTGGGACGTTAAACCCCACATATCAATCAATTAATGAGCTACATGCCATGCATGCAATCACGTGTAACTCATTACTGCATGTTTGTCATCCACGCACACACAATCCCGTATACAGCGTCTTGCTAATCAAATAACCAAGGAGGCTTCCCGATGTGTGCGTGATGTGCTTTACGCTAATTATGACATGCATGAAGTGTCATCCATGTTTGTTATACACCCAGGTTTTGTCATGCACATTCTGGTACACAGCAAAGTAATAGAATGATCCCCGCGATATCGCGGTGCCATTTTTATGTCACAACATGCATTGCATGCATGTAATTCCATTCAATGCGATAGAATGCCATCTATTCATGAGCGCCCACACGCACGCACGCACACACGTTTGTGTGAGTGTGAGGTCACCTGAGCTCCCGATTACTTGACACTTGTAAAATTGGTGTCAATGTATCAATTTTGACGCTTGTCTTCAGACGTGCCATGTGCGGCGCCCATAAAGAGTGATACGCCGGCATATATGAGCGACTGCCGACGTGCACGCCTGAATGTAGAGAGTAGGGAGGGTGGCGGAGGAGGAAGAGCACGAAATGTGAGCATAGGGGTGAGTGGTGGGGGGGGGGGAGTGGAAGAAGGCAGGGTTTTTTCAGATGTGGCCGAGGGGCCACCAAGAGAGGCAACGTAACGAGGCAGGGTGCTGCATCCTGAGCCCGGTCCCCTTGCTCGGCCCCGGGGCAGCTGCGCCTAATGCTCGCCACGATTTGCACAAATGACTGCGAGGGGCGTCCCGGTCGAGCTTCACACGCAGGCAAGGCCTGCGCGTTTCGGGCGCAGATGACGCGCTTTCTGTTGCTGCTGCCGCTGCCACGGTGCGCGTCGCGCCGCGGACCCGTGTTTATACCGCAGGGCCAGATTCATTCGTGCCACCAAGCGCCAGGCAGCGAGAGCACCGTTCCTGCTTCTCCCGCGGGCACCGCCAACTTAATTGGCTCGGAGATGAAAAAGATGTGCCGGCCGCACAGTATACGGCACACAGAACGCCTTCTTGCGACAACGAGCCTCTCGAGCCGCGGTCGCCGTACAAACAAAAAACAGGGGCACGGCCCCGGCGAGCTGCCCCGGAAAAACATTGCCAGGACGGCGGCTTGGCCGCACATTGCACCAGGACCCGCCTCCGCCGCACCCGCTGGTTGTGATCAAGGGTCGCTACGTTCGGCCGTTATCAGCCGTACTTGCTTGCGAGCTCTGCGCAACCGAACAGAGCTGCAGTGTAAGAGCGCACACTCCAACGACATTTGTATTAACTCTCACGGAACACGAAGGGCGACGGAACTGACTTAATTGCCACTGCCATCACATGACTAGGCGTACGGCACGTTGGACCTGGTGGTAATTGCGGCCAATTTTATACCTGCTGCGTGGTAACATCAGTAGATAATACTGCCACCTCACGCAATTATTATTGACTATGCTTTTCACGGTATGGTATGCCTTTTAACATGCAACTGTATATAAGAGCCGCAAGTTGAAGCCTATTCAATAATTAGTACAAGCGATTCCCCGTGTGAATCGCCAAAAAATCGCTTATCATCAGATATGGTTGAGTATTAGGCCTGCTTATACATGACTGGCAAGAGTCAATCGCGTGGCACCAAAGGCATGCTCAGAAGGTCAAATAAAGTTGAAAATGCATCAGAAGATCCATAAAACATTATGATTGTAAGGTTTGCTTTTCAATTTTTGTGGCCAAAGCAAAGCTGTATGAGTCTAATCAAGACATGAGCCATTTCGAAAGATACCAGTCTGGGTGCTGCATGTATTTTGGCCTTATGGTGCAATGTAGAAGTATTTGTGGTTAAAGGTGGTGAAGCAGCAATCTATATGCTTTCCGCTACTTTATCAAACACACACGGACACGCAGAAATGGAACACAGAGCGACACGTAACTCGCTTGCTGGATTTCGGGCCGACCGATCGTGCGCTTGCGATCTCCGGCGTCAGCGTGGCTCTGGCCGACTGGGCTCGCCCTACGTCACCTCCTGCCGCCGACGACCTTCGACGACAGTGTAGCTCTGACTTACTGGACTATCGCCATCCACCGACGCCGAAAGGAGCTCTCGCAGGTGTGCCCCGTCCTCGGACTCCAGTGACCGTGCTCCCATCTTTCCTATCTCTTCTATCCCCTCAGTTTGTGCTCGCTCACTCTGGCTTACCACCTCACGTCTCTTCCTCTCTTCTCCTTCTTCCACTTTCCTACATCTTTACTCCTATCCTTTTTTGTCCCTCCTCACCCCCATCCCTCGTGAGCTACTGTGACGGTGTCGCTCATTGAAGCAGACAATAACGGGGCTCACTTTTTTCTTCTTTTCTCTTTTAAGAATCACTTCTCTAACATGTGCAAGAACTGATGTGCCACTACCAATGCGATAACGTTTGTTTAACTTCGGACGTGATGATTATGGCATGCGTTTATTTATTTATTTATTTATTTATTTATTTATTTGACAATACTACTAACTTCAGGTGGAGTCATTGCAGAGTGGGGTTACAATCAAGAATGACGCATAGAAAATTTTAGGGAATACAGTATAGTGAAAAAATGAAGACAGCATAAAGCAAAAGACTAACAATTTGTGAAGCAAAAGAGGAGCACAATGTATATTGATAAAAAAAAGCAAAAGAAAAAAGACCCAAAACAAAAACATACTACCCATTCAAGTTAAAATATAAGGTAATAGGCATGTAATGTATAAGAATAGAACTTCACATAATCGACTGTCAAGTAAAGAGTCGAACATTCCTATACTGTTGGTTTTAACGGTGGGTGCATCTAGGGCATTCCACTCACCGATTGTTTGCGGAAAAAAGGAATACTTAAAAGAATTAAAGGCCATTTGATATGGAGTGACTGAAAAACAATGTTGCAGTCTGGTATCGCAACCTGTTGAAAAATGAACGTATTTTAATATACTGCCATTAAGATGACCTTTAACTTTTTTAAACATAAAACGCAATCGTGCGAATTCGTTCCTCTCCGAAGTGTGTTTCAGATTAGCCTTAGCCATTAAGCCTGAGACCTAGACCCTATCGTAGCGATTAAAAATTAATCTTATGGCTTTGTGTACTATCCTTTCTAGCTTATAATATTATATTAGGTAAAGGGATCTCAAACAATATTATCGTACTCTGGAACAG